ATACTATAAAATCTTACCAAAAATAATGTATACAATATACTGATTTGACATATAAAATTTAACAAAAATTACATATACATTATATTGATTAGATGTATAAATTCAGTATTTTTTTGCATACAGAAAAAAACGATTTTTAGTATCTAGTATATGAAAATATTTACGAATTTATTATACTGTTTTTCTACATTTATTATATGTTTTTTAAACGTATTATTTCTGTATACTTTTCTTATACATATTATTTATAAGGATAATAATTCAACATATGGGAGACAGTCAGTAAAAAAGGGGAAAATCCAAAATTTTTGTTAATTTTAATTATTAAGCTAATTTTATGCACATAATCGAGATTAGCCAAGTGGTCCAATAATATAAATTTTGACCAAAATTTGGATTTCTCCCTTTTCTACTGATCGTCTCCCATATCTGAAACTTTGAAATAATTTATTATATTATATGGGTTTTTGCAATAGAAGGAGAAATCTGTTAGAAAAAATAAAGATAAGTTAATGTTAAATTTGAATATATTTTAGCCTGAAAATTATATATGATATATAAAAATAAAATTGATTTTTCTTTCCTTCCTATTGCAAAGGTCCTATATATAAATCTCTTATTTAATTAAGTATTAGAATTTTTCGTTAACCATTTTTTTATAACTTTTCAATGAAAATAAAAATTTAAATATAAATGGTTTCACAATAAATGTTATTTATGATTTGTATTATAATCAGTATATAAATCACAATTTATGAAATGTCTGAATTCAAACATTTAAAATTAAATTTTTAGTTGATTAGCAAATTATAAAATTTGCCATAATATATTATAAGATTTCTTTAACCTTTTTCTAAGGTGATATTAATAAATACTTTATTGAATTAAGATAAATTTATAAATATTTTGTATTATTGCACGGCCCTATAAGGCCAATAATATACTTTATTTTGCATTGATCATAAATATTAAACATTACTAGCTTATTTGCGTTCAATATTAAAATTAATAGCTAATTACGTATAACATTAAAAAAATATTTTTTCTATATTAGCTATTAGCTTTCTAAAATTCCATTATTTAATATCATTTGAATTGACCCTAGAATAACATTTAATATAGGATAATTATCAATAGCTGTCACGGAAGAATTTTTTAAACTAAAATACCCGAATTTTATAGTGAAAATAAACTTACAATACATTTTATATAAATCCTATTATTTTTTTGCTCGAATTTGTTGATAATAACCTTAGGTAACAAAAGAAATTAAGGAAGTAAAGTTTAAAAGAAAAGGCTGCGCACAACAACGCCAAAAATTTGGCTGCGGTTTGACTTTATATGTGTGAATACTCATTAATAATAGTTGCGAAATCATATGACCAAAGTTTTTAGAGTTTTTCCTTAAACCATAGATTTGTGTTATTTTATGATCCACAAATGTATTGAATGATATACAGACATTCTTTTTTTTCTTGGGATATTATTTTTCTAAAAAATAATATTGATCTCTTATTTTATTTTATATTAATTATTTTTTTTTTTTATAAAGTACTTTTAATTTTTTTACTCGTCTTTTAAAATATTGGTCTGCTGACTCGTGGTGGTAAATATCCTCGAAAATAAAGTTCATACGAGGTGAATTTTTTAAACTACATGTTAAAACATAATAAATAACAATTGGCAACCATCCACAACTAATTACCTTTTTAATGTTACTTATATTACATTGAAAAAAATAATGGTCAAATTATACTATTTGGTTAACTATTTTTTGTTCGTATAGCTTAGATAAACATTATGAATAATAATCCTCAAGACAGTTCTAAGCGCGTTGGAAATTGGGGTCCACGACAAGCTCCTAACCTTGATCCAAATCGTCAATGGGCAGCACTCCGGCGTCGTTATGAGTGGAATGATTCTTATGATGACACAGTAGCTCCCAGAGATCAAGAATTAGAGAATGAACTTTTTGGAGAAGAAAATCACGTTCACACAGGAATAAACTTTGCCAAATATTCATCGATTAAAGTCAGCGTCAAACCTGAAGGTACAATAACTCCAGTACCCACAGTAAGTTTCGATTATAGTTTTATTTATTGTACTTGTTAGGTATAGAGAGATTTTTTTTAATATATCGGCTATTATATGATTAGTTTGACGAAGCTAACCTTCATTCAGCAATGAAAGATAATATTAAGCTAGCTAGGTACTCGGTTCCTACACCAGTTCAGGTATTATTAATAATTATCAATTATATTTTTATAAATGGTATTCTCTCCGAAAATTATATGATTAATGAATATTATATTCTTCAAGAAATATTCAATACCAATTATTACTGAAGGAAACGATCTAATGGCTTGCGCTCAAACTGGTATTTATTTGTTTGCATCATTTGATTTAGTTTATCTATTTTGTTATCCTTAATAATGTGTATTTTGATAGGATCTGGTAAAACTGCTGCATTCCTCATTCCTGTATTATCCAAGCTGTTTGGAAAAGCGAAGAAACTTGCAGCTCCTCGCCCTCCAGCCGGTGCACGCAGATTCAAAGCTGAACCTTTGGTTCTAATTATCGCCCCTACACGTGAATTAGCCACTCAAATATTTGATGAATGTCGTCGATTTACCTATAGAAGCATGATGAGGCCTTGGTTCGTTAATTTTATTATATTATTGAAATCAACTTTGAACATAAAATAATGGTCATCTTTGCTAAAGAGAAATAACAATTCTGCATTAAACATTTTTTTTTAATGATTTTAGTGTTGTATATGGAGGTGCCGACTCTCTTCCACAGAAAAATGAATTAGCAAAAGGTTGCGATGTTTTGACGGCAACCCCAGGTCGATTAAATGATTTTGTTGAAAGAGGTTTTATTAGCCTTCGTCGAGTCAAGTAAGTTTATAGACCTATTGAATATATTTACATATTTTACAACATATTTTTAAACGTTGGCTTTGTTATAAATTTTGACAAAGATATCTTATACTTGATGAGGCTGATCGTATGCTGGATATGGGGTTTGAAAATGATATTAGGAAAATCGTACAAAAATCAGGTCAGAATTTATATTTTCAAGGTAATTATACATTAATGTATTCTCTAACTTGTTATTTTCAATTAGACTTATGCGATGACGGAACAAGACAAACCCTTATGTTTTCTGCCACATTTCCAAAGTCTATCCGTTCGCTTGCTAAAGATTTTCTAGCAGAAAAATACATCTTCTTAACGGTTGGTCGATTGGGTAGTACTACTAGCGATATCACTCAAAAGGTGGGATTTGGTTTGATGATTATTTATTAATTCAAGATTGTTAGTTTTTTGTTAACGAAATTTGAAAATAATAGATTATGTACGTTGAAGATCAAGGCAAACGTAATTCACTTGTCGAGTTATTACTAAAACAGCCGCCATCCCGAACACTCATATTTGTTGAGACAAAACGTGGAGCGGACTCGCTTGATGATTACTTATATAATCAGAATTTTCCAACGACAAGTATTCACGGGGATCGCACACAAAGAGAAAGAGAAGATGCATTAATATCTTTCAAGTAAATATTACACAATTTATTTGATTTTAAATTCCTAATGTTAAAAATTCACAATTATAATAGGAATGGGCGTTCGCCCATCTTGATCGCCACGGCTGTTGCAGCTCGGGGTCTCGATATCAAAAATGTAATGCATGTCATAAATTATGATCTTTGTAACGATATAGATGAATACGTTCATCGGATCGGAAGGTACATATATTTATTTTTATTACTTATATATTTCAAAATGTGAGTTTAATAAATAATATTTTTTGAATCATTAAAGAACGGCTCGTGTTGGTAATCAAGGGCTGGCTACAACCTTTTATAACGAACGAAATTCGGAGATTGCTCCCGAATTAGTGAAAATTTTGGTAGAGTGCAATCAAGAAGTTCCTGATTTTTTACAATCTTATAAGCCGCAGGATATGTAATTAGTCGTACAACCAACTATTAACTATATTTTTTTTTTTTTGAATTTCTATAAACGATTTGCTTATTATAAGTTTTTTTTTCCTTAATAAATAATAAGGCGATTTGATGATGATGATGATGATTTCGTAACTGAAAACACACCAACAGTCAAAAATACTCAAGAAAACACTTGGGGGCAACAGCAACAAAAACCTGGTTGGGATGCCAAAAATACTTGGGATGGCAAACCTTCATGGGATGCTAACCAGCCTGTGACTTCCTCAACGGTATTGAATATCAATGACACTCCTTAAATCACTACTTCTTTTAGTTAATAACTCTACTTATCCAACGATTCAACCGATTCTCCATTTCCGCAGGTTCAAAATGATGGATGGTCAGCAAATAATTCTGTAGCGCCACAACAGCCGCCTCCTCAACCTTCATATCAATCGTTTCAGCCACAAGGCATGCCATCATATGCAAATCAACCTCCTCCGCAATCGCCGTCACAATTTTCACAACCTCAATATGGCGGTACTTCACCTAAAGTCAACCTGCCAAAGTCGAATATCCAATATGGTACGAACCCACAACAATCGTATGGTTATAATGCGCAAACGCCACAATCATATGGATCAGGTGGTTACGGGAATCCTTCCAACAATGGTCCTCGACAAAATTATTACAATAATGATGATACGAACAGATTTGACGATTCCATTAACGATAATTATCAAAATGCGAGTCCGTCTCGACCTAGGTCTGAATCACCAAAAAATCAAAGGAACCAACTCCGTATGGAAAGTGAAGTAAGGAACGATCCGCCTCCTAATTCTGACAGTTGGGGTAATCCAGGACAACAACAAAATAAGCCATGGGATCCAAGTCATGTGCCATGGTAATGAACACGATAACTGAATTGTAAATTATGAGTCATTCGAAATTAAACATTATATATAGATAGATATAAAAGATATATTTTTTACTTCAATTATTTTTTTTTATTCCAATAGTTTTTTTATGCAATCTTTATATTTTTCGGTTTTTTTTTTAGCTTGTAAAAAATTCAAAAAAAAAATTTTTTTAAAAATATATATATATGATAATTGATTTTATTAAAATATCTCATTTCATACATCTAAATTGTCAGATTATTTTGCACGTGATAAAGATGTTTTTGATAACACGGATAAAAAATGCTTTGTATTAATTGTATTAATTAATACGAAAATGCAAGATTATACTTTCAAAAATTTAATAGTAAATTTTCCTTCTCAATTTGTGATTCATGTGGAATTTAATCGGCCTACAAAACTCAACGCCTTTGATCAAACGTTTGTTATTACTTAATTGTTAAATAGGGGTTTTTTTTTTAAAAAAAAAATAATTTTATATTTAAATTTGTAGGTCTTGGCGCGAATTACATGATTGTTTTAAGCAAATAGAAATAGATTCAGAAGTTAGAGCTGTTGTAATATCGGGAGTTGGCAAATTTTTCAATGCAGGAATCGACCGTAGTTACTCTATTTTTATATTTGTGTTTTACATTGTAACTTATAAAATATATATATATAATGTTTTCTTTTATCTTTTATATGTCATAGTTAATCAATTATCTTCAATGAATAATGATAATGAAGGAAAAGATTCTTCACGTCGTTTTTTTAACATACGAAGGTCATTGATTGTAAGTGGAATTATAAATTTAATTTAATAACTCTTATTATTATCAAATTATTTATAATGACATTTTATGATGATAAAAGGTGCTTCAAGATTCAATCTCATCATTGGAATTATGTGACAAACCAGTAATTGCCGCTATTCATAATGGTTGCATTGGAGCTGGTGTTGATTTGATTACTGCTTGCGATATTCGATATTGTTCACAAGATGCATTTTTTAGTGTCAAGGTTTAGTATTTTTAAAATATGTATAATCTTTAATACATTTTATAATTATTATTATCATTTTTCTTGACATTAGGAGGTCGATCTTGGACTTGCAGCTGATATTGGTAAGAAGGATAATTCCGGTAAAGCTTTTTTTTATATTAATATTCCTACTATTTACCTTATATTTATAAATTATTAGGTACATTGCAACGTTTTCCCAAAGTAGTTGGTAATAATAGTATTGTTAGAGAATTATGTCTAACCGGTCGAAAGTATGTAGATGAACTTATTTACATTTCTTTTTATTTTTCGATTTGATCCGTATAGATTAATAATGATCAATATGGTTGTTTTACAAGTTTCTCTTCAACTGAGGCTCTTGATATTGGTCTCGTAAATAAAATTTTTCAAACTAAAGAAGAAACTATTAGTAAGTATCTTTGTGATATTTATCTACGTTTATTGATAACAAAATATCTAAACAATCTTTTTTAATTAAACTAGCGGGAGCTTTAAAAACGGCGAGTATTATTGCTAGCAAATCTCCAACAGCTACTTTAAGTACAAAGTAAATATATATTTTTTTTATTAACCATTAATACATTAATTAATTAATTGCATTATTCTAAATAATTTATATCGATATTTTGAAATATAAAAGGCATCTTTTGAATTTTTCACGTGATCATTCTATAATGGAAGGTCTTGCTTATACTGCAGCTTGGAATAGTGCAGTGCTCAATGGAAGCGAGGTAGGAAAGAATCATAAATTGCATATTATTTTTTTTTTTACTTTCTACTAAATTTGTCTACTTAAAGGATTTGATGGAAGCTTTTAATGCTACCATGGAGAAAAGGAAACCAAAATTCTCTAAACTATAATATTGTAATTGCAAATTTGATTTTATTTAAAAACTTTTAATTTGTATTATCAGTTGAATAAACAAAATATTATACAAAAAAGTATTAAAACTTTTTTCATTTGATTATTAATGAGATGACTGCCATATAAAAAACCATTATGTGAAATAGCAAAACAAAGTCAATAATATATGTCATAGTTGGAGTTTAAATAAACAACAACAAAAAAAGAAAAAATAACACCACTTCCAAAGAATATTTGTTCATTATCTATATATATTTTGTATAATATTAACACTCTCTTAATATTAAATAAGAATATTACACTCTCGCAGATCAAAAAAAAATTTTTTTTGTAGATCTCAGATTATATATCTCTTTTTTTAAAATAATAGTTTTAATACATCAAATAAACAAAATTCTCACTTATAATTAATAAATCCTCAAATTTTCTTAAAGTAATTATTTGCCATATACATTATAAGGCATTATAAAACCGAATAACCTTTCCGTAAGAATCAGATTTTAATGTTTGCTTTCTTACGATCCAAATAAATCTAAAATCCAACAAATCCATCATCTCCTTCATGATTACCATCAATAACAAGATTACTATTTCTATCATTATTCTGATTATATCCATTTTCGTTTTCACCTTCCCCACTCTCAGATATTTCACCACCCACTCCTTCTGCTTCAGAAGCTAAGGATTCTTCAATGTCAGCGCCAGCAACCGCAGATGGTCTAACGACTTGATCATTCGTATCACCAACTCCACCAGTGTTTCGATTCCTTTGCTGTACTATGACCATATTCAAATATTGTTTTAACTCTTTAACACCTTTTCCACTGAAAACACAAAATACTTGTCTTTGATGTGGTGTGAATTCTTTGGGAGGTTGTCTGCAAAATTGCTGAACATCCGAACGTAAAAAAGCTGGTACACCAGTAAGAGATAAATGTGTTAAACGGAAACATGAATTTACTAATTCTAAAACTGCTGGCACAGTAAGGTTTACACAGTAAGATAAATGCACACGTTCTAAAGTATGTTGTACAACCCGATTTTCAATCAAAGTGTAAATTGCTTGATCCGTTATAAGAGCACATTTCACCAATCCAATACGACGCAATTTAGGAAGTTGTGAAAGTTCAAATACTGACGCGTCCGTAAGTTGAGTGCAACAAGCCAAATCAAGATATCGTAACCGAGTACAATTGCGGGCTAGTTGAGTTATGGAATAATCCGTGATACGTGAACAGTGGCCCAAGTGAAGATAATGTAAATGCTTTCCCAAACGAGTTATATGACAGACTCCCTCGTCTGTAATATTCCCACATTTTGCTAGAACAAGATTACGTAATCTGGGCGCACTATGTGAAATTTTGAGTAAAGTTTGATCGGTAATAAGTGCACAGGATGTAAGGTCTAAAATACGTAATTGTTCGTATAAGGCTGACATAGTTTTTGTAAAAGATTTATCGGTAAGGTTGGTACAACAAGCAAGTCGAAGTTCTCGTAATTGTGTACAATTTTCGAAAACAGGCTGGATTGCTTCATTTGTTATTTGGTGACAATTGGTAAGATCAAGTTCAAGAAGATGCGAACAATTCTTAGCCAAAACTACCACGGATTCGTCAGTAATGTTTTCACAACTGCTAAGTTTTATCTATATTAAATAAAGTAAAATAGAATTAGTTGTAATTTTTTATCACAAAATTTGGAGGCGTTAAACCTCAAATTTTTTGTTCTTTAAATTACATACCCTTCTTAAACCCCTGCACCTCGACGCTACAGCTAAAATACCTTTATCCGAAACCTTTTTACATAAGCTCACGTTTAATCCTTGCAATCTTCGACATCGTTCACCTACCAATTCTACAACTGCATCTGTCAGATTTTCAATGTCTGATACATCTAGTGCCACCAACCCATTTGCTTTATCTAATAATTTCAGAAGTCCATTATCTGTAAGTCTTCTACATCCTCCGAGGGTTAATCTTTCTAATCTCTCGCAAGAACTTAAACGTTGTAATATTTGGTCGCTTACATTCTCCCCCAAAAAAGAAAAATTTAAGCGACGGATGAGAAGAGCATATGGAAAGGTTTGGGTATTTCGTGATAAAGTAACTAACAGTTTAATGAGAGAAGCATTTCCAGTGAATACCGGTTTTTGCCACAAGAGTTCGACACCACAACGACACCACGATTTACAAACTAAGATACAAGACTTTAAGTCGGAAGTAGAAGTAACATATTTAAAAATCTGAAAGATCAACTCGGAAGGTATAGTAGCAGCTTTAGCTAATGTATTTTGAGAAGGCTGAGAGGTTAAGGTCTGTTTTACAACTTGTCCAAGTGAAAGTTTTCCTGAATCCATTGCAAAAAAAAAAATTCTTGATCGGAAACTATGCAGGATTTCTGTAAACCTAAAACTTCTACAAACAGTACATCCGAACCTATAAGTTCAATGGGGGTGATTTTTTTTTTTTTTTAAAAAAAAAGAATATATGTTATTTATTTATCTATCCAAAATGAATCCTTAAAGAAAAAAGGCCTTTGAAAATAATGGAAGTCCGCTTCTATAAATGGACATTTTACTTTTTGTTTGTATTAATGAAAAAAAAAAGTCATACACTAAAAGCACGTTATTTCCGGTCAAAATTCTTGAATAGAAGTTACACAATCTGTAAACTATCAGTTTGACAAACAACCAATTGCAATTTCTTAGTTAATCTATATTAAATTTTATTATTAATAATTAAAGTCATAAAATTTCTTAATAAATTATAAAAATTATAATAATAAAAAGTTTTTTATTAATTTTAAAAAAAAAATTTCTTAAAAATATTAAAAGTAAATCAAAAGAGAATTTATAGTAAATAAGCAGACAAATTTGTTTGCGAAATCTTATGATCTAAAGAATATTAATTTAACTAATCTTATAAGCTAATAAATTAATTGTTATATTTAAATTTAGCTATTATTTCATTTATGATTTTTAGTATATATATTTTTTTATAATAAATAAAATGTTAAAGATTTAAAGTAAAAGTTTATTTAACATTTTTATATAGTTAAGGATAATAAAACAATCTGAGTAGATAAAACTATTTATTCACCAGATAAAAAAATGATTTGAATAATAATTATAAATGGTTTACAGATTATATGCCAAATATCCACAAATGATATTCACAAATATTCACATATCCTGTGAATTTTTCTTTTATTTTCTTTAATACTATTATATATTTATATTTTATAATAAAATAAAATATCTTATTTCCTAATTTTATAATTCTCAATTTATTATAATTTTATTATAATAATATGGTATTATCAGTTATCCAAAGTTTACATATTAGAATTATCCAAAGGTGAATAGATACTTTTAACAAATAATAAATTTTTCTTTAAAAATATAAGCCTATTAAATAATTCAGGATTTAAACGTATTCTTTTAGCTGTCAATAGCATTACTAAGTTGAGGTAGCTAGAATCAGAAGATAAATTCTAATTAACTTCAAAAGAATTGAAAATTAGATCTTAGAATAATTTGTATAAAATTAATTTAAAATTAAAATTATATTTAATATATTAATTGCGAATCAATCTACAAATTTATTATTTAATTCATGAAATATCTGCAAATATTTGTGAATAATCCACAGATAAACTTTACAAATCTGCAATACTTAAAAATAATTCAAATATTTACATTATTTATATGGATTATCATTCATGAATCATTTCTCTAATTAAGGGTATAACCTTATGAAATTTTAATATTTTATGTAAAATTATGAGATTAATTACTTATTTGATTTCTTTATATAATTTGTAAAATTTAATTAAATATTTAGTTATCAATAGTCAAAATTATATAATTTAATCAACTATCAGATATCTGAATTGTATCTGAATTATAGCCAAATTTTAATAAATTTGATTTAATCCTATTGCATAATTCAATGATAATAGAAACAATTCAGATATAACAATTCAGACACAATTTTACCTAAAAATTAAGCCTAAAATCAATTTAAATTCAGCTAAAATTCAGATACAATTCAGCCAAAAATCAATCTAATTCAACCACTTAAAATTAACTACAAATTAACCATAAATCAGATACAAATCAAACATAATTTGCCAAAAAATCAATCTAATTCAACCTATTTAAAATCAATCACAAATTACAAATTAAAACTAATATAATAAATTTAAATTTATTTCAATTTATTAAATTTAAATTTTTATTATTTTATATAATTATTAAATTTAAATTTCTTAAAAGTAAAATAAAGGAATAAGTTAAAAATTTCATCTTCAATCATAATATATTATTAAGGAAAATGATAACTTTTCAAACTTTTCAAACTTTTTATTCAAAAAATACCTTTGATTTACTTTTCTTAATTCTAAAATAAAAAATTTTCTAATAAAAAAAATAAGAAAAAAAAGAAAAATGATAGCTTTTCATCCAAAAAATCACTTTTAATTTGTTTACCTTAATTCTAAGATAAGAAAATTTTCCAAAAAAATAAGAAAAAAAGAAAATAGTAAATTTTATTATTTCTGATTTGTTTACCTTAATTCAAAAATGAGAAATTTTCTTTAATCTGCTTACCTAATTTCAAAATGAAAAATTTTCTAAAAATAAAATAAAAAATAAAAATTTATTTTACAAGAATTTGCTTTTAATTTACTTATCTTATTTTTAAATGTTAATTTTTCTATAAAAACAAAAAAAAAAAGAAAAATCCACCTAAAAACTTGTTTCTGATTTATTTACCTTATTTCTAAAAAAAAGTATTTTCTTAAAAAAATAAGAAAAAGAAAAATGGTAAAAATCTTTCAAAATAAGAAAAAATACAGAAAAAAGAAAGGAAAACAATTAAAAAAAAGAAAAGTTTTTCATTTTATAATAGAAAATTTCAATTAATCCAAAATTTATTTATTAATTCATTAATATTGTTTTATCATATTAGATGATTTTATATTGTTTAATTTCTATTGAATGATTTGTATTATTATTTAGGAAATGATGATTTAATTAATCTAATCAGATGACTTTTCATCATCTTAAAATGATGTTAATTTGAACAATAGTGTATAATCTCAAAAGGATGATGATTTAATTATTTATATTAGATGTTTTTGTATCTTTCAATTGGAATAATATTGAATCATTCAAATCGAATGATAATTATTTTAAAAGGATCTCTCTGAAACAATTTTTTAATCATTCAATAAGAATGATTGATTTATCATAGGATTGGATAATCTATCTTAGTCTGATCCTAATTCTGAAACTTATAGATTCTATTATTAAGACTCATGATCTAATCATTAATAACTGGTCTTATGACTAATTTAAGACTAGATCTAAAACTAGCCTTTTTATATAAACATTTAAAATTAATTGCAATTTATAAAACAAATAATAAATGCTAATAATTTTATAGTAAAATTAGAAAAATTCAAAATTTATTATAATTTCATTACAAATTGTTTCTATACTTCTATTTATATTAACTTTTCTTCAATATTATTTATTAGTAATCAAACTCTTTACACATAAAGATACTCTGGTTGTTATAGGATATAATCTATTATGTATTTTAGTAATAATATTTATTTAATAAAAAATGTCTATTCACAAGCTATGCTTGTAGCTTGAATTAATAAATAATCTTATATAATATAAGATAAAACTAAAAATTTCTTCTAATGATCTTGTTATTATATTAAAGGTATTTAATTCTCATCATATAGTAAAGCAATATAATAATTCAATTTAGAAACAATTGAAAAATTTGTTTCATTATTATTCAATGATAATGAAAAGATAATATCAATATAATGATATTTTGCATTATTAAATCAATATTGTGTTATAGATTTTATTTAATATTAGTATAAGTAGTGAAATTAGTAAAATTGCTGCAATACGAGTTGCTAAGTCAATAATATTCTAATATTCACCAATTTTTTGATTAATTAAAGAAGTCATCATTGATTAACTAAAATTCTAATTAATATAGAATTGAAGATATTCTTGTATTTCTATTATTAAAAAGTGAATATCAGCAATTATTGGATATAATATCACAGAAAGTACAACTATAGCCTTTTAATATCACTAGTCAAAATCAAAAAAATTACTATTTGCCATTCATAGGATAATTTAGACCAAATTTAGAAATCACTAAAAATCAATCATCACATTTATGATCGATTTATATAAATTAGAAATCAGACAAATCTATTTGACAATTCAGATGGTTATTTTATGTCAAATTATTCTATATTATTTTTAGTCAAAAATAACAATTCAGAATGAAATAAATAGTTTTATCATTAATAAACTTACAAAATGATAATTTAGAATGAAATAAATGATTATTATCAATAAACTTACAAAATGATAATTCAAAATGAAATAAATAAATAAATAATCATATTTGGTATTTTCCGTTAATCAGCCAATATTCTTTTGCATTTCGTCAGGTTGAAATCTTATATTTCTTTAGTATGAATCAGCCTAAAATATGATGTATCAGAATTATGCAATCATAATTTTTAGGGTAAAAATCAGTATCCAATAGTTCAATATTAAATGTTTCTATATTGCTAAAATGATATTCAACATTTGGAGAATCTGCAGGTTGATACCATCAAATATATACTAGAAAATGTTCAGCCAATTAATATGGTAAATTAATTATATAAGTAAAATAGTTTTGAACTTAATCTGGATAACATTCAATAACATCATCATTCGTAATAAATTTGGTCAAAATGTATGAAATTTTTACATGTCATAAGAATATTATCGAATCAAATATTTCAGAACCAATTTGACATCTTTTAAATTGATTCATTTTGACTTGAATTTTTATAGCATTTTCTGAATCATTGCCAAATGGCTTCTAAAATTCAAGATCTTCATAAATTGCTATATAATATTTTATAATCAAATCCAGCATTTCATTTGAAATGATTATATTATCAGATGATAGCTTAAGAAATTCTTCTGAAAATTTTTATTGCCAGTAATATGTGATTCCTTAATATTTTGAGAATACATCCAAAATCAATAGATTTCATTTGTTAAAATTGGTCAGTGGCTGAAAGAGACCTAACAGAAGGTCAATTGTCTAAAAATTCAAATCCGTTCACCTTAGCATCAGAACTTATAATACTACTAATTTGACTATCAAACATCAATCAATGTATAAGTTCAGGTTTAAGTTTTCTATTGCTATACAGTAAAAAGCCTAAGAATTGTAAATTTAAAAGTTAATAAATATATTCAATTGGAAAATTTTTATAATTATGAATTACCTGTTATTTTATTTATGCGTTTGAAAGAAAAATACCAGAGCATATACAGTGACTCATAATCAATTGAATAATCGTATAAATAAAGAGATAAGTGAATATTCAGCGTGATTTTATTACAACTATGATTTTCTTCTATCAGTTTTACTATTTTGATTAATCTATGATAAGCTTTTAAAACTAGGTCTGATTCTACAATTTAGCTTACTAAAATTAAGCAAATTTTAATGAAATACGTAAGAATTTTTTATCTACAGCTAAAAGATGTTCCCAAAATGATATAGTGGTATAAACAGTAAAAAACATTTGTCATTGATCGGCTGTGAAATTAGAAAATCCCTCTTCTTCATGAATTTTATCTGAAATTTGATTCAAATCTGATGGAATCTTAAACTTATTCATCTTTTTCTAAATCTTTTTCAGGGTATTTAATATTAAAATTCTCTCATCAATCCAAATTCATTTTACTATCTATCATATAATTCCTAAAATAAATAATGCATCAGGTCGATTGTGATAAATCTAATAGGATCAAAATATGATAATGATAATAATTCAGACTATCTTACATCAGTTTGTTTTATAAATTGCTTTCATAAAAAATCTGAATTGCAACATCTCTATTCTAAAGTATTCTGATAATGTTTAATTGAATCTCGCATGAAGAACCAATTATCGAAATCATTTATACTAGTCTTTAAAAAATTTTGCAAATCTTCTTCAGAAGATTCTTTCAATGTTTGTCGTACTTAACCATCATATATATTGGTCATAATTAAAGATGGTACAACAATTGATTTCAAATTTACAAAATGTTGCAACGTAAGCTAAAATTAGTTGCAACATACGTTGCAACATTATAAGTTGCAACATATATAGGTTAAAACTAATTGCAACGTAAGTTGCAACATTAAAAGTTGTAACATATTAATTACAGTTCCCATCTTTAGTCATAATATTATCAAGATGCCAACTATTTGCCCATTATCTTAAACAACTTTCAAAACAAGGCTGATGATATATCAAAGCGAGTTGTTGTCTAATTTCAGAAAATAAAAGATTAAATTAGGTTAAATTATTACTTGATTTGCTAAAACACTGATTTTTTAAGATAATAATGTATTGCAAAGTCATGATTTATGGAGCGACGAATTAGAAAATTCTATATGTTTGCATTTCATTACAGTAAGCAAATCTTCTTGTTTAAAATTTGTCACTTTATATTTTTGATACAACTTATAAAATTTTAAACAAGGAACTAAGCTATGAAATTGATCTTTTAATCCAAGTTTTTTCCTTGTTAAGTATATTGAATTTGGAAAGTCATCACCTCTGACTTCTATCAAGACCAATTTTATGAATTTTATCAAAACCCAAAATGTTATAATCCAGAGTAAAATCTATAAAAATTGGCTATCAATTATTAATTCTAAATTTGGTGGATCTTGAAAAAGCTTATAATTAGATGATACATAATTCTCAAATATATTAAAATCTTCATTATCACCTGATTTACCATTATTTGATTTATTTTTACTACTACTACTATTTGAAATATTATTTTCTTCAGTGAAATATTCAGAAGATTCAAAAGGCTCATCAACACTTTGTTCAGAATTGTCATCAGGAGGATTTATATTAGATTTTGATCAATTTTTATATCTATTTACACATCTTTAAGATACAATATAGAATCAGAATCCTCTTGATATTCATTATCTTCTGATTTATATTCAATAATTTGTCTAGTTGAAGCTGATGTTATTGAAGACTTTCCTATTTTTTCCTGAATTTCAAGTTAATAAAATGCATCCAAATTGAGCTTTATGAATATCAATATTTTATTATTACATTATGTGATGATGATATTCTAGAAGTAAAAAATATTTCTTCATCAATTAAACTAGTAATTAATCTATTTCTTCTAAAAGAAGTTGCAGTAAAAGATTAACTTAAGTCATTTTCTTCATCATCAAGTATGCTAGCAATTAACCTTTTTCTGCTCATTTTGATTATATATTTGAAATAGAGAAAAAAAAGGAAGAAAAAAGTTCAAAATAGAGTAATTTATAAAAATAATCTTTATATTTGTATTGTTTTTATTCTTAATATTATTTTACAGTATAAGAACAATTTATGTTGTTAAGCTTAAACTGTATATTGTTAAGTTAACAAAGATTATTTGCTAACAGGAAGTTTAAGTAAGTCTAAACTATGGAAGAAATAAACACAAATAATTAAATTGAAGGATTAGGTCATCTTTATTGATATAGATTTAAAGAAGAATGAATTATTTTAATGAGAAAAGATAAGTTTTATAGATAAATGTAATTGATTTATTAGAAAATTGGTAACAATTTTGCCATTTAATGAGGTAAAAATACAAGATATTTATATAAAATACATTAATATGAAATAGATATTTAAAATAGTAAAAAAAATATAAGAAATATAATAAAATAAAGAAATTAAATATATTAAATAAATGTGTGAAATTAGAGATCGCTAAGAAATTAGTGAAATTAGAAAAATCAGAAAAATGGTAGAAAGTTGAGAATTGTGATTGTTAAGACTACCATTCATCAATTATGTTAGGCACAGTATCATATGTCATAATAAGACTATCACTAACAACATATTATTTGTTGTATGTATTATTTATCAAATAATACTTTATTTAATATTTCTGATTCAATTATATTAAAAGTTTATTTAAGCTTATTTATTTCAAATTTATAAACGAATTAAAAATTCGAATAAGAAAATTAAAATTTTATCATGTTAAATAAAAATTTTGCTTAAAAGATGTTTTTTTTGGTAAAAAAAAAATAAAATAAAGTAATAAAAGAAATAATATTAAATTTAATACCAACTAGTTAAAATTTCAACTAAAACTGAATTTTATCTTATATGAATAATATTGCAAGGATATTTTGTCAAAAAACTAATTTTCAAGTAGAATTTAAGTTGATTTTTGAAAAACAGAAAGTCGAACAAACAATATTGCAAGAATATTTTGCCAAAAAGATATATTAAAGTCAAATAAGTTAATATTGAGTTGATTCGAGATATATAAAAGTACTAATTTTACAATTGATTTTCTTTAGGAAGTAAATATTCCTTAAATTTCACTTATTTTTTTTAAGAAAAATAATTAATTTTAATACATTTTTTTTATTGTGCCCTTGCATAATTAATATAATTTTGCATGTATAATCAATTATATTAATTAGATTTTTGCATTTATAAATCTTAACCTTTCTGCTAACCAGCTTTATCTTTTTTTACAATAGAAATGAAAAATGAACCAAACAAAAAAAACAAAATAAGTATAATCACCAAAAAACAACAGAAACAACAAAAATAAATACAAAAAGCACTAGAAGCGCAAAATTCGTAAGAGATGAATCAAGCAGCTAAAATGCTAGCAGCATTAAAACTACAAAAGAAAAAGCAAAAATCTAATATCGATGAGAAGCCAAAAATCTCAGAACATAAGTTAATTTTAACAATTGATACTTATACAAATTTCTAAATTATAGATCAAGTAAATATTGATAAATTACGAAAATGATACAGTGACATTTGACTCCTATCAAAATACCAACGTAAATTAATAGTAGTTTTTTTTATTATATAGAAAATCGAAAGCTGAAGGAGCAACTCAACAAATTTCACAAAAAGATCAAGTAACTTGAATGAAAAAATTCTGATTTCTTCTGTGAAAATAAATGACTAGAATCCAAAATCAATTTCTTGCCAAAATTATATTTGAGAATACTTATTTTAGTAATTTTCTTATCTCTTTTTTTTTGATATTTCAAACTTGATTGATTTGCAAAAATTTAGCTGATGAAAAATAAAAGGTAAAAAGCCAATCTGTTATACCGATGATGAAACATTAAAAACATTTCTAAGGACAACGGCAATTCATCAGCAGAAGAGCCAAATATGAAAGGAGTCAAAATATATTTAAATTTTTATTGATTGTGTTAATATTCTAAATTTCACTAATTTTTTTTTTGATTTCCATATTTAAGCTGAAATGAAACAGTTTTAAAAACCATCAATCTGAAATGGAATTTATATTATAATGTTACATTTAATTATAAAACAAATATTAAAAAGTGATAAAGTCTAATCCTGAAATTATTAAAGGTCTTGGCTCTGAATTTTCGATCTTCTGTTGACCAATTAATGAACAGGTTTCAAAACTTTCACAAATTATGACAATTGACTTGACAAAGTAAGTAAAGCAGAAGGATAGTCATAACTCTACGCAAATAATCGAGTATAAAATATTAGTAAATGAAATTACTTTAATCTTTGGTTTATTTATCTAAATTTAATGTAAATTTATTATTTTAGAAAAAATATGATAAATAAAAGCTGTAAAATGTTATTTACGTAAAATGATGCATGAATTTCTAATATGAAAAGTGGCCTTTATTGCAAATATTGGCTGATCGCCTATACCACTTGCCCAAAATTAGTGAGATGGATAATGATGAATAAAAGTCTGTTATTACTTTATATGATCTCTTGTGGTGATTGGTTGAAGTTTTTTAATATTTCTAGTTTATTTAATTCACATTTATTAATTTTAGTTGATTTTACACTTTTTTATTCCTTATTTTAGCAACCTCATTAACCATACAAAAATGAAAATACGATGATGAAATGCAGCATTATGTCTGGCCACATTCTACTGAATAGTTTCAAATTAACCAACTAAACATTTTCTTCACCATCAAAATCGAAGCATTCATTGGGTGGTAAAGAATATATAACAGATGAAGAAGAAATTATTAAAGTCAAAAGGTGGTAAACATAGTGACTAATAGTAATGAATACTATGATTCAGATGATCATTTCAAGATGGATAACTAATTATGACAATCTTGAAATAGTAGATACAATAGCGACAATGATGATTATATATATATTTTTTAATAATTAAGAGGGTGGGTGGGAAAATTTCTTGCTTCTTTTTTTTTTGCATTTTTTATTTTATTTTTATTTATTTTTTGATAATTAGAAAGGCAGATGTGACAATTTCTTTTTTTTTTTTACTTATTTGCTCTTTTTCTTTATGTATTTTTTTTTCAAAAATTAGGAGAATAAATTAAACAATATTTTTGTTTTTTTGCTTATTTGCTTTTTAGTTTATTTTATTTAAAAATTGGAAAATTGGAAGACGATTAGAAGATTATAATAATGACTACAATAATGACAACAATTATGAATAGCATTGAGAGTAAGTGTAACAATTTGTTTTTTTTTGCTTTTTAGTTTTATTTTTTCAAAAATTGGGATAACAGATTAAACAATATCTTTTTTTTGCTTATTTGCTTAATTTAATTATAAAATAAAAAATATAAATAGAATAAATTGAAATGTAAATTGTATCTAAATTTAGGCCAAATTAGTTTTCTGAATTGTGGTTAATTTTAGGCCAAATTGTAGTGATTTTAGGTGGTTAAATTAGGTTGACTTTTGACTGAATTTAGATCAATTTTACACTTGATTCTTATGTCAAATTGTGTCTGAATTATATTAAATTATTATGTCTGAATTGGTTCTATTGGTGCCAAATTGTGCCAATAGGAATTAAACTAAATTTATTATAATTCAGCCATAATTTGACACAATTCAGACATCTGATTGTTAGTCGAATTGTATAATTTCAATCAGTGAATGGTTCTAATAAAATAATTATATTCTTTATTTTATGAAATCAAGTTAATTTTATATTCTATTAATAAAATAAATAACTAATAATTATTTTTCCTTACTCAGATTTTTATTTAACTTTCTATTGGATATTCTACTTTAAGCAATTATAACACAGGTTCTATTTGTTCAAATCTTATATTATATAATATGTAAAATTCTATTGAGTTTTTATATTGCATATAGGATTTTAAAATTGAATAGATTTAACGTGACAAAGATTCTGAAATACATCACATATTAAATTTGAATTTTTAAGTTTATCTATTAAATTGTGCAGTTAAAAAAATGAATCTATTTGGGCAGTGCTTGATACAGATACTTATGTAAATTGTGTTAGCAAAAAATATGCTGATGGAATAAAAATAGCATATGAAAAATATGATAATTCTAAAGTAAATGGATCTTATTAGAAAAGTTAATTTGCATATTAGCTTTAATGATAACAAGAAGTATAAAAGCATTAGGCCCAATGAATTTATAGTTTTTGGATCAAATTGGCCAGATTATTATTCTAATTTGGTGTTAGAGAATCCATGGCTGTGAAAAAATAATGCAACTATTGATATATGTAATTTATAAAGAAGGATATCATAATTAAAATGTTGCAACATCTAACGTTACAACACTATATTGCAACATCATATAAATTTTTTAATAATTATAACATGTGTTATAATTAAAATTATGTCACAACTTAAAGTATATTACGCAATTAAACGCAACTTAAAGTATAAGGCGCAATTAGCTGCAACTTAAAGTATATAACGCAATTAGACGCAACTTAAAGTATAAGGCGCAATTAGCTGCAACTTAAAATAAGTTATGCATAATCAAATGTTGCAAATGTTATAATTGCCGCAATTAAAATCATATTAAATAAAA